ACGTCCTAGGGTGTTAACCCTCTAGGCTAGCTCGTAAGCTTCTGCCTATCGGTTGTAACCGAGTCTCAGAGAGACTAGTATCAAAGGTACTGATTCCCTAGAAGGGAATAGAACGCTCAAGCTGTAAGGCTTACAGAGCAAGTTTGAAAAATGATTAATACTTATGCTTATCTTCTAACACTAAATATAGAAGCACCTACTCTATACTAGTGCTAGTCACTTTATATTGGCTCTGTAGCCCTTAATATGTAACATGGTATAGATACTATACTTAACTAAGTATAGCGACCACGTGGATCTCTGCTACGATGCGACCCTTCGTACCTTAAGTGTGGCCACATCAATATACCACAGTACTTAAGGGTACAGCCACACCATTGTGGTGTGGCAGGTGTGTATGTACAAACAAACCTCCGTTTAATTTAGCTTTATAATCACCACGGATAGCCTAGACTTGCGAGGCCCAACATTGATTTTTTCTCACCAATACGCTTACTAATTAAGCAACCTAGTTTTCTACACTGTCTTGCTTCTATCCGACTTCCTAAACGTATCTTTTCACATAATATCCGACCTATTGTAACACGGAAAAACTTAGCAACAAAATGTCAGCACCCAAGTTTATGCTTAGCTACCACCATTTTTTGCTTTGTTCACTGTATTTCTTTTGATTTAGTTGAAGCTGTGTATGTTGTAGGGGTGTTGTACGAGATCTTGACTATCAGTCTTCTTCCAACGTCGGAGCCTCGCCGATCTCACTCTTGACGTATTTGTACTCTACACACGAAACGTTTCCTTCTGAGGTCCAGCAGAGACGGAAGTTAACGTCACATTCGTAGGCTTGAGGCCTAGCGTCTCCTCCTTAAATGCGGGTGATAGTGCGGGCCAAGCCATCCAACCGACCAGCAAAACACTGGGGCCACCCCATGGAGCTGGAATAAGAAGACAGGAAGGAGAAAGAGATGACACATTTAATAATAATGATGAAGAAGCATACACACATATACAAAAGAAAGTTTAAAATGAACACGCACCGTAACCTGCGAGATCCTTAACAAGGTGAGTCATGCGACTGGCTGACATGAGTGAAGAAGCTTTTGAGCGTTGAGCTTGACACCTCAGGTTTTGAGATTGTGGGATTGGCTAAAAAAGTGATATCTATGACGAATACACAGACAGTTTACAATAATATTGGGGTCTTATTTTTTAGATTGACACCTTTTAATACAATCAATCTTGACTGACAAAGAGCATTTTTCACTCACGTGGAAGTGAAAGTTAATGGCTAGGGTCCGTGCTGGTTGACTTTTTTCCCCTGCTTTTACGTCTCTAGCACTGCAAGCAGGCAGCGCTAACTGACGACTCATCAGTTTTATTGCCACACATTTCAGCGCTGGCGGAGACTTGATCGTGAAAATGCCGTCTCTGAGTTTATTTTTAATAAATGTGGCTATTCCGGCGACATATGAATACTCTGTGCGACAACGGTATTTGTAATCACATAAAGACGCAACTGCTCCCCGTAGTACAGCGTTGAACATTATTTGCGACCTTGTTGTTGATACGGATAATGTTAAATTGCTTAAGAATGGTTGGTGATAAAAGATGCTCCCGTTCTATTTCATCGTGGCATTTTAAGATGCTTCTATGGCCGACAATATGGTAGCGAAAAAGCTGTAAATGTCTAGATTTTTGATGACTGTTACCGTCACGGACTTTTGCGGTGATAGTGGTGGGTGGTAGCGCGTTGTTCACTGGAAGGCGTGATCAACCTACAACAACGCGTATGTTTGCCGTGGCGACGATGAGAGAGATTGGAGACATACGTGCTAATTTGTCTACATTTGTGACATATTACACATCATTTCCTCTTGCTACTAGAAAATCTTAATCTTATCGGAGATGTGGGATATATGATAATTTAAAGGTGGTGTGCCGTATTTTTTATTTGCCAAGCGGGTTCATTTCTTCCGGAATATGGGAACGATGTCGATAACGCAGGACGGAATATTGATGATCAAGCTGCCAAAATGAAACCACATTATCTTACGCTACAGTGTGGATTCTGTTCAGTCAACCTTGTTTGAAACCCAAATAAGTAATGTTTGTAGCTTCCGTGTTAGATAGTTCTGCTGTCATCGTAGACACAACAGAAGACGTAATTAAGGAACATTGTATTCAAAGACTGAACGAGTAAGTGATTTTGAGACATACATCTTCAGTTAACATCAAACAGAGGTAATGTAAAACGCGCTTTTTCGTATGCAAACAATTGTCGAGCTTAGTTTCACGATTTGCATTTTAAACTTCGTCGGTGCATCATCGACTTAATGCGTGCTATCCTTTGTGTTTCCTTACTCTTAAAACTGTAGCACTTTAATAGTCAATGATGTTCAGCACCATGATGAAATGTGCTTACGATAACCACTTTGATTTCTGTCTATTCGAGCTCGAACGGGCTTTGAGTCTTCGTTGCGACCAGTGCGAATCTTCGATACAACGCTGGTATTGTCGTGATTCAATGTGTCTCTAAGAGCAGTATACTTGCTATCAACCTGCGCTGGATTTATTGACATTGAACGTCGCAAAAGCAAATGTATTTACTTACTATATACATCTAATGCGTCCGGATGACTCACTAGTTGCGACGAACCTTGCAGCCTAATTTCTTGGTTATTGGCGCGTCTGTACCGTTAGGCGCTTTCTTAGTAGAAGCAGCGTCGTTGTCATCACCATCGCTTTCACTGGTAGATGCAGGCGGATCCGTGGAGCGTCTAGCGTCAGTCGTCTCGTCAGCAGGCGTCTTCACCGAGGAAGCCGTCGCTGTAGCGGTATCAGTATCAGCGGCGGCCGTCGGCGTCGTTGAAACAGTAGCTGAAGCCGAGACACTGGAGAAATTTAGTGTCGAACTCTTGGTTGATGTGCTCGAGCTGGTGCCGCTGGGAATACTGTCCTCGACTGACACGCCATTGAAGAGCAGCACATCCTGCTCACCTTCCACCATATTGACGCCACTGCCATCGTTCGAAAGTGTGAGCTGGCCGAAGTTAAACTCATAGTTCCTAGGAACTTCACCATTGTAGCTTTCAGTCTTTGTGAGTGCCAGGGCGTCGTCTCCTTCACTGAAATACAGAGCCAGCTTCCCCGCAGACACGGCAATGCCAAAATTGTACCACGTCTTAGTCTTAAATTCGGTGGACCAGCGGGCCTCAGTGCTTCCGCCAGTGTACCAAACCAGCTGAACCGGGTTCACGGACGCGTCGATGCGGATCTCAAACAAATGGGACTCACAAAACACAACCTGCCACGAATGCAGGTTAATGTACGGGACTTCCTTCATTAGACTCACGCGAAAAAGGTGGTGCCCACCGTATTACCCGCAACATTCTGCACGAGCTCTGAGCGACAGAAGTTGCTTTGACCGCCAAATATAGCCTCCGAGTCGACGGCAATCGTGGCAACGCCCGTATCGCCGTTAAAAGGCGAGCGGCCGCGCGTTGTGACGGTCGTCCACTGGTCCGGTTTACGGTGCCGTTTTGGCGGTTGGTCAAAATGTGAGTCAGGTACTTGTCTGTGAGCGAAGCCACCGTCAGGTAACGGAATCGGCCATCCCATGGCAAGGTCTGATCATCTGCGGCGTGGGCACTAAAAGACATCAGCGCGGCGAGTAGCGCCACGCTGGACGTGAGCATTGACTGAACGCGAATCATCCGGCTTGGAATGTTGTATCAGTCGAGAAAAGCTGCTATGATCAGGATAAAGGCTACCCTCATAGATATTGCCCACCATTTTTTCTCGGACCAGCTTGTACAAAAACCTCTGTTTTTTTCGTACTACAATTCTTCTATGTCGTCTCATCGTTATGTTTGCTAGTCATACTCACGTATAATACCTCAGATAATATATCCACACCCATTTGCTGTCAGCATCTATCCCCTACGTGCCTGCACTGCGTTTGGTGCTTCAAGTCTCTGCCGAACGTTCGTAATAGTCATATGGGGGTAAAAAGACGTGATGCTACCGATATACTGTAAATAGCACGGTTTTACTGTATGCTGTCTGTGTATTCGTCAAATATACCACTATTTTAGCCAATCCCACCATCTCAAAACCTGACAACGCTCAAAAGCTTCTTCACTCATGTCAGCCAGTCGCGTGACTCAAGGAGACGCTAGGCCTCAAGCCTACGAATGTGACGTTAACTTCCGTCTCTGCTGGACCTCAGAAGGAAACGTTTCGTGGCAAGTACAAATACGTCAAGAGTGAGATCGGCGAGGCTCCGACGTTGGAAGAAGACTGATAGTCAAGATCTCGTACAACACCCCTACAACATACACAGCTTCAACTAAATCAAAAGAAATACAGTGAACAAAGCAAAAAATGTGGTGGTAGCTGCTAAACTTGGGTGCTGACATTTTGTTGCTAAGTTGTCCGTGTTACAATAGGTCGGATACGCGTACAGATTTATTATGAGGTTATGTGACTAGTACAAAGGATGTTCTTCTTCTCCTCATCTTCTCATGCTTCCGACTGACGCAGAACATAGTCTAGCAGACAACGCGGCTTCTTCGCGTTTGCGCGGTTGGGCTTCCAGTGACGTTTGCGCATGTTTGCAAACCAGTTGCGTACTTGCTGCTCCGCTAGTCCAGTCTTCTCAGCGATCTCCACCCGCTCGTCTGGAGACGGGTACGGGTTGTCCTTGTGGGCAAGAAACCACGCGACGAGGAATTCGTTGCTCTTTTTGGTGATCCGTGACCGCTTGGACAGCCCCGAGCCTGAGAGGATCATGCCTTGCGACGAGGCGTCCGAGCATTTGTCCTCGAGCGAAGGGGAGATCGACACTGCTCTGCGCTTGTGGAGGAGAGAAACCCACGTCTTGGGATCGTGGTTTGTGGCAGGTGGAAGACTCGTCGCCGACTCCTCAATCGATATGACTGCGTCGATACACGCGCTGCATACAAATTGCCACATCCGCCAGTAATACAGCACCGCCTTCAGTAACATTAAGTCGATTCCACTCAGCTCATAGTGATTGATGTCCTCCATGATGCGGTACCAAGACGTGCAGAGTCCTTGCAGCTCCGATTGCTGATATGCAGTGGCCTTAGCCCAGTAAACTTGCTTGGACGTTCTGCCCTCACAGTTGGCTACCAATACAGCAAGAAGCTTTGCTGGCTGTGAGACCATGGCCATGAATTTGTGCGTGAGCAGTAAGAGTGTGTGATCGTTGATCGGTGTCTGCAAGCACAGGGCCTGTGGTTTTTCCTCGTCTTGTGTCACATGGCAAAATGTTGTGAAAGTGGCAATCGACTCGTCACTAACCGTCAAGTCCTCTTCCGCTTGCCAGGATTTCTCCCGAGACCGCAGATAATAGTTTGTACAATGAGGAAAAGTCATTTTCACAAGTGAGGGACAAGGAAGGACTGAAGCAGTGATGAAGACGAAAAAGGCAAGTTGCAGTGCCTCGTCACCGGCCTTTTGATTGGTCCGATGCCGAAAAAATGCGACGCTGCGCATATACGCACCTGATAGCCATTTTCCATTCTCTTATCATTAACGCGTAACGTATTTACAAGGTCAATTCTAAATAGCAGTGTCATTAAGTGAGATTTTGAGACTACGAGAGACTGAAGAGGCTGGAAGCATGTGCCCAATTGAAGTGGTAAACAGCATCTATGCTGCTGAAAAAAGCTGCGAGCTATAGAAGATTTGAGAAAATACACAAGGTAACAACTCATAATGGAAAAGATGAATGCGATCATACTTTTGCCATGGAAAGTTTACTTTTGTCTTGAATATATTACAGCTTCCATATTTTGCTTTTACTAGGTCTCTGCTTCGTTTTAGACTTTTTCATTTCACTAAAGATGTTGGCGCTTTTGTGTGTAGGTGTTTCTAGGTGCAGAGTAGATGTTGTACTTGTTTTCACACTCTCAGTGATAGCAGAAATGTAAGCTCGTCGTTTACCATCAACACTGGAATTATGTCGTGCCTTTTACTTAGTTTTCAGACAACAAGTTCACGTATCGATAGCGTAAAAGCAAAAACATATTTAGTCATCTACTAATTGCCATATTCAGAGAGAAACTAAAAGTACTGAGGCATTTGTTTGAGCTCAAGTGCATCACCAAACCAAGACTGCTAGTGGAAATTACACCACCTAAAGCTACTGAATGACTATTCTTTTGGTGTCTAAAGCTGACAAGCATGAAGAAGCAAAACAGTACGTGAGTGTAAATTTGCTTGCTGTGGAACAAAAAAGAAGACAAGAGAAACATCTTGACAGCTTTGGTTCGAGTGTGGAGTAAATGCTGACGGTCAGAACGGTGCTGGAATATCTGTACGCATTGAATCCACTGGTGCAGAAGGTCTACATGCCGACAAAAAATCAGACAGATGGCGGGAAGAAAGCTGGCAAGTCGCCGCGTTGATTCAGGCGAAAGCGTTAATGTGTTTTAAGCACTTGCCAAACTCAGAATGTTAACATTTACCACAAAGGAGAAACGATGTGTCTCCGGTTACGCGCCGCCATCGAAACGCGGAGTGGCTGCTAACTTGACGGATGCTTAATAGTATGCAGTGAGAACAAAGTGGTGGTTTATGGTTGTCGAGTACGGACAAGCCATCGGTCCCGTTCAATGGTGCTACTATTGAAACGTCCATGAAAAGCAGCAACTCAAAGGCGTTCTGCCGAGTAGAGTCATTTGTAAAACTTGTCGCATTACACGTTTCAAATGGCTTTAGCAGAAAAAACGCAGTTTCAGTACTACTGCCTCGTAGCACACGAGGAATTTGCTACAAGTTTACCAACGAGCTTAACAATGATTGTTGCAGCGATCGAAACTTGGAAGTTACTTGAACTATCTGAAAAGTACACTGAGACTGAGCTGTTGCCTTTTTAAATTCAAAATTGAAGACTTATCAGCACTAGTTCTAAGCTAGTATGGAATTTGCTCTCTTTGATAGTACAGCCGACGCAGACGTAGTAGTGTCAAGCACGTACCTACTGTATTATTACTACGATAAAACGCTTAGTAGTGTTAATAAAAAACCCTGGCAGGATTGCTTGTATTTACGCTACGATTAACGGTACTTCTTGCGCCCGTCGCAGTTTGTGCAACCAGAGACACTCCTCTTCTTCTTAGCACATATTAATGATACCTTTCATGGTAAATGGATCAAAAATTATAAATGATTTCGTCAATAGATGTCGGCATCATCCGTGGGCGGACAGAACCTGGCTACCTTATCGAACAGCCACCACGATTGAAATGACAGCCACAGCCACTAAAAGCACGAAAGCACCAAGGCAGATCATTTTCGTCTTTGAGCACTTGCAAAAGCCGCGCTTGAGGTTAGCCTCCCGCACGTTTTGCAGCGCGCCTTGCGTGTTTTCCTGTGCCGCATTCGTATTCTCTTCGATGTCCACTGTGAAAAAAATAAGAATAATCAGGTCAATTACCAACACCTACCGCTAGCAGTTTCGAATGTCCACAAATTTATTAGCAAAACGCACCAACAATCTCGGCCTGGTCCTGTAAGAGTCCGTCCACCTCTTGGTAGGCAGCATTCACTTCATGCAACTGCTGGTTAATCTTAAGAATATCCTCTTCTCTTCGTACCAAGTCTACAATTCCAACAACCACCAAATATTCAGTCAACAAGTGCACCACTCCCCCCGTATTTGTTCAATCACAGTCTTCTTGTTACAAAACGCACCATCTTCATTGTAGCTCGTAACATTAGCTTGTGCGTAGATTTGGTCCTCATTGTACCCGTCAAAGCCCACAGGCTTATCGTTATCATCCGAACGGAAGGACAAAGAAGACCGACGAAGGTTCGAAACGGCAGCTCTTTCAGCTTCCAAAAGCTTCTGGCACGTCTCCTCAAAACGTTTCAATTGATTCTTGTAGTCCATGGACAACTTGGCCACCTGCGTTTTCCGCGCACGGCCACTTGCAGCCTTCATGCCCTGGTCTAATTCTTTCAGCCGACGATTAATCTTAGCCACAAGTTTATAACCACGATCCATAAGCTCTGTGAGCTGCTGATGGTTGGCGCGCGAGTCTTGTGGTGTACCAAATAGCGTCATTTTCTGCGCAATAGTGCGTGTAACCTGATTAAATTGACCCACGGCCTTGGATGTTTCTTGTACAAGGTCATTATAGTGTTCAACCTCACCATGCTTGGGAGAATCAAGCAATGTGTAGCTCATAATGGAAAAGCGACAATAGCAAAGAAGAAAAACGAGGGAGCAGCACTCAAAGAAGTGGACGGTTTGAACTATATCGGGTTTATCCAAGGTCAAAAAACTGTCTAGCTGTATGTTTTATAACCAGAATCGGGCAGATAGTTATTGGACACAGCGATGTAATTTTGCAAGAAAATAATAGAGCATTTAAAATATACGAAAATCCAGCTCTATTTCACCGGATGCTTTTGAGACAGATTTGAAGTCGCGTTGGACTGGTTAAGAAATGGTTTCGTAATTTACTGATCTTTTTTTCTGACCATATTAAAGGCTTCGTCGAAGGTCTGGCCGTTCAAGGCCAATAGCGTTTCGTTTATTTTGGACAAGCCAACATAGCGCGGAAAGGTTGTGATCTCATAAGTGTTTCATGCTTGATGCTGATTGTGACTAACATTTAACTTGGAATGCACATAATTTCTAAAATAGGGTTTTACGTATATCGGATTTGATAAGGTAAATAGAAATTTCAAATAAATGACAAAATGAGTCATTCTCTAATGTAATTTTTGCGACTTGTTCGACTATCGCTAATAAGTCAAAGTTTATGAAAAAATGTGCGTCATTGTTTATATGCCGGTGCAGCCATCTTTGCAATTACTCTGTTGCCGGCATCAGGTGCTAACGGTGATACAAATGTCATCATTCCTTTTTCTCATGCTAAAACCATCACAGAGGACACGAGTCGCACGTCAGCAACTGACCCGCCGAGTTCATCGAATACTACCAGAAGATTTTCTTGGTCCTTCAATAACCAGTCCTGTGGAACATGGTAGTAGCGTTGAACAAAGTCGCCCTCTTCGTTAATGAGCCAATAGCGGCCCAAGTCATGGCCGTTAATAAACGCACGGCCGCGTGTGAGTCCAAACAAATCGAGCAGGATGGATGGCTGCTGCTTGCTGGTTGACTGTTGCGCAGGATACCGGAATGACGTCCAATACCAACTCATCAATTTTCGCCCTCCCTTGACATCATTTCGAGATAACGTACGCACAGGGGGGAACCGGAGTCCATGGTACTGAATTCAGCCACTGCAAACTATAAATCATCAACTGCTCACCGACAAGACTCGGGTACATCGACCATTCTTGGTCGTTTGCCAAATTCATGTTCCCAATTTTGACACTTCCCGTGATACCTTTTCTGTGACTGCTTCCCATTGAGTAGATCCCTAAACTAATCGACACCAGCTTTAGGTAATGCTTCCGGCCAACATCAATATTCGCTGGCAAATGAAATAAGAACTCTTGGGAGCAGTTTCCACCAGGGTATGCTAGATGTTTCTCACCGATAGGCCAGTTGTCGATGAAAGCAATGATACTGGTGGCCTCGCATGATGTTACCGTCAACGTCCCTGCGTCATCATTGTTATCACCAGTGTGTCCATTCAGTTGCTTCAACGTGAATATGGTTTCATAAGTCAAATAGTCGGATTGGTCTGCTGTCAACCGAAGTTGCTCGAAAGGCCGCATGGCCACCACCCGTTTCCTTAGGGTTGACGGTGATAAATCAAGCTCGGTCCACGTTTTCCATTTCAAAGTGATAGCTTCTACCAGCGATTTGTACGATCGATATTGATGGCCTGGAAATGACTTTTGTACGTCTGCAGTGTCATAAAGCGGCACTCCGTCCTTGAGAATCAACATCGAGTACGGCGCGAGGTCGTATTTTCTGCGCTCGTAAACTACAGTTACCCCCTTTTTAGCCATGTTTTCTAAAAATGCCACCTGGCCAGATCCGTCCTTTGGCCCGTATACGAAAGCTCGTTGCTGTGACGAAGATCCAGTAGACTGCTGGCTTGCATGTAACAGGCTATGCGGATTCAGCAATTGCCGGTCATTGAGCAGTAATATATCATTGCACTCAATTAGGGATTCGTGAAGCTTGCGCAAATGAGATCGTTTTGGCTCATTGCTCAAGCCATCTGAATGAAGATTTACTCCGTCTGCATACATGTTAGTCACTCCAGCAGAAGCAGCCCTGCCGTAATTGTTACCGCCATGATACATCTAAATAACACGACATAAATAATCATTGTCATGTATCATGTCAGTTACACCTCAACGCGAAAGTACACGTCACTCACATAGTAGTTATGTGCAGCACCACCGATCGCAAACCATCGAGCAACAGCATACGCCACATTTTCGGGAGTTCGCTGGTCACTTGGCAACAATTTTTTTCTATCCTTCTGCCACGTTTGAAACCAGCCTTCGTCTTCAGTCCACACAAGCGGGTCTGACGGGCGCTCCTTCACATGCTTTATCGCAAAGTCGACGCAGTCATTACCATTACACGTGAGAATAGTATTCTTAGCTGCGTTGGCGTAGCACCTGCGCACATCACAGGCAGTGTCAAGGGGCCTCACTTGCTATACATATATAGTTAGTTAATCAAGTGGTCTCAGTAACCTACATGACCCATGGAATGGAAGTATTTAAACGCTGCACAAGATCGCCGCACCACTCAATATACTCGGGATCATGCCATGCAAACTCGTTCTCAATTTGCGCCATTATAATCGGCCCACCATTTTCTGCCAAGAAAGGTCTCGATAAGTCCACCATATATCGAACAAATCTCTCCATTTCACTTTGCCATGGAGCGTTGCTCGAGCGTACTTTCATCCCAGAAATGAAATTGAGCCACACTGGTAGACCTCCATTGCTCCACTCCGCACACACATACGGACCAAATCGCACATGCAAGAATAAACCCACTTTTGCTGCTAGTTCGTAAAATCTTGTAATATTGGCATTACCCTCGAGATTAAACACTCCTCGCTTTTGCTCGTGCAAATTCCAAAACACATCTACAGCCACAGCGATACCAAATCAGCCACTCCAATATTATACTACCATACTAAAGTATAATACTAAGTTCATATTGTCTTACACATCTCAATGTGGTTGAGGCCGTCTCGCTTGGCGTCTCTCAGTAGCTGCTCCCATTGGCCCGGAGTGCTCCGTGGGTAATGAATGGAACCTCCAAGCAGCAGCGTTTGCCTCCCATCAATCTCAAAACCTCGAGATGAGTACTTAATGCTGTATCCGGATTGGCGTTTGGTCTTGTTTATATCGTTATACGTCAAATATTGAAAGCGTCGCGTGTCCGTCGAAAGCCACAGTGGATTAGAAGTGCGCACAGAGGGCGGACGAGCACCAACAAAACAGGCGACGATCAGGAGAACAGCAAATAGAGCAGCATCTATTCGACGTAGACGGCGGCGAGGCTGGGGAGGCATTAGGGGGGTGTCCACAGGCAATAGCGCTTCTTTATCCAACATGGCCTTTGTTCTTTTAGAAAACTTCTGGTATGGCAAATCATAGTAAAGATAAGATAGGTGAGCAATCATTTAGAGACGTGCGATCCTGATACAGTCATGCGTCACAACATACTGGACGCTCGAGATAAGCTAAGATCTCAGTACTTTGACAATGGGGCACTTGCTCGCTTTAAGTAGTGCTGAGAGTGCACGAAGAGACATTTTGATCGATACACTAGTCCGTGCACGCTTTTTTTCTCGTTTAAAATAAGGAGCTTATGAGATTGTAGCTTACTGCGTTCGAAAACGTATCTCTAGGATGACGCGATGCCATTGCTGGACAAAACTAGATAACGTTATGATTGAAACGCTCTAGGAGCAATAAAGCCCTTGTGTGCATAATAATCAAACTATCGGAAAGCACATGATGCGATTACTGGAGACGGATTGGATTGCTGAATGCCGCCTAGATTGGACGATACTCGAGGAGCAGTTCAACAAAACACGCGTAAGAATTGATCCTCATTACAAAGAGCTCAACAACATTAAGATGAAGTCCAAGGCAAATTTGCCATCATTTTGTCCAGCTTATAGAGACCGTTTTTCTTGGAATGAATGCTCTCCAGTACGCGCTGCACCTTGAAAATAAATGGCAAGTCCAAGAGTGTTTTGCATGATGCGATCTCATCCCCATTGGTATTCAACGTGGATGAAATCCATGGTCTCCAAGAGAAGTGTTTGCGACGATATTATCGGAGGACATTCAGGCTTCTTGTACTAACCACTGAAGCTACGCTTTCCCTTAGAGTCAGCATTTACATGCGCATAAAGAGAAATGAGGACACTTGGGGCGCTAAGAAGCTTTGACAAGTCAGATGATCGCTGAATACAGCTCAGGCTTACATACGTCAGAGTTGGTGACAAGATCTTGTCCATGTAGAATCTCAACGTGTTAGCTTGCATTCGATCCGGATGACACGAGGTTTAACGCAGGCACAAAAAGACATGATCGTTGTGTGTATTTCGTGATATTTGCGCACATCCACATATCACTATCCGCGTACATTTTGGCACGTACATGTGAGAGGCACATGTGCACGGTCAAGTTGACATAGAAGCTATCATACTTTGTAAGATGGTAATGCTAAGGCTTTGATTAAGGAACGTTTTGCCGACTGCATGTTGACAATGTCGAACTGCAATCGACAAGGTAAGACAACAAAGAAAGAGTCTTCTGGTATTGTATGAACACATTGGTTCAAGCATGAAACTATTATGGAAAAAGAGTTGTGAATGACACGCTTACACATAATGCTATACAAAAGAAAACAAACTGCTTAGATCAAAACGCTTAAGAAAGCTTATTGCTGACTAACAGAGTCAAACCATAATAATCTAGACACCGTTGACTTCTTGCCCGAGTCGAGATTGCGCGACACTTCAAGGTAACATCTTCACAAACCCTGTCAAAAAATTACTGTACCATTCTGCTAACATGTTTACCTCCCCCGTGGCTTCACTCTGCTTGGCCTGAAGAAGCACATTTTGCAACACTGTTTATTCGACGCTGCATAAACTACCTTCGTTATTACAACAAAGTGAGAGCCGTGGTACGGCGTGTATCATGTGATACCGCAAGCCCTCAATACTACGTAAGTGTAGCTCTGCTTACAGTCAGCAGTGGATCCGTCTGTAAAAAGTGCAGTTTGTCCTTTGTTCTTTTCAACATTTACACTCGCAAGTCGCTTGCGCCACAAGAGTCTGGTCCATCATCAGCATCTCTGTCTAAAGTTTGTATCACCCATTTCTTGTGAGCCTTAGGCCCACAGTTGTTCTAAGTACCAATACTGAACACCCGACATTCTTTGGCCATCCAACGATCTGAAGCTTGCTAGCCAGAAGCTTGCTGTCGCTCTTTTCCATCAAGCAATTCCGAAAAGATCGAGCATGTCTTCAAAAGCTAGTGACGGTTATAGCGGCAGTTAACGCACTCCATGGACCTAAGAAGTCAGGAAGTAAGTCATTAAAAGTTAAAGTAGTGGCTCATTGACCTTGGTTATTAGCAGCGACTCGCAAAGTAAACTATCTGTCTTATTGACTTAAAGAAGAGAGGATCGTTTATCTAACAAGAATGACTTGATTGCGACGAACGACGACCTGTACAGGCTCAAGAATTGAATAAAACATACGGTATAAAGGATCAGCGACATATTGTATTAATGAAGACACAGTGGGCAAGTTTGTAAGAAATATTTAGACCAGTTTTTATAGTTACAGGCTCGTGCTGTGAAAGATTTAGTAGCGGCAAATATTCATTCGGTTTTGGTTGATGAGGACGCTGTGCTCCGGTGCAGATCGTCACGATTAGACACCTCAGAAGAGTTGCTCTTCTCTCAAACGTAACAGATAGCGCAATTTGCCGTGGCGCATATAGTGTCGCATATAGTGTCGCAGATCATAAAATAAAAAAATGATAACGATAGCATGTTGCAGGCTAACTTTTGAAAGAGTAGTCACACAATCTGCGCCAAGTCTAGGACAATCCTTTACATAGCAGAACGTGCCCTACTAATAGCCAAACGAGCATTAGTTGTGTCGTTTGTTGGCAAATGTTATGATAGAGGTGATGTGTCCGCATTGATTCCAGCTGTGCACATCAGCATGGCTTACTTTTCTGGGCCACCTTAAGAATCCATATTTGCATTTCTCAAGCCATAACATGTTGCGGAATTTTTAGAGGCGTGTGGTAACGACAAACCCACAGCAAAAAACTTGATGCCGTTTTGTATTGACATTTTCAGTGCCACGTTAAATTGATATCATTGCGATCATCAAAAAATTTCAAAATCATGTTATGATGTGTGCGGAATAAACCTTAGATTGGAGCCGTCGTAGTGTCGATTGGATGAATCCCAGATAGCGAAAAGTCAGCAAATGTATCACCTGTTTTCTTTCGCCAAATTTGGCCGTAAACTTAAGTCACCAATATGACAAGCATTGAGTGAAGAAGTCCTGCCTTAAACACATGTACCCCGTCCATCACCAAGTACAACGAGGCGAAAGCCAAGCTTTAGTGGCAGAGATCGTTTGAGCACTCTGCTTTGACTACACTAGTGTCACGCTATCCTCTGAAGTAAATTCAAGTAAAATCATAGGACAATCGTTTATGAAAAAAAAACAGTTCAGATTTGAGAGAAAAGGAACGATAGGATTTGCTCTCTCCTTGAAGCTCAATCAAGTTGATTCAAGCAGCAGAAAAAATTCAAAAGCTGCGCAAAGCGATGAGACAGTTTGCATGGCAGAGCATGCACCGGATGTAGTAATAAATAAGATACCCCAGTGTTTTCTACTCTTGTAAGCTCTGAGCTACCTTGTGTGAAGGCCTTGTGATTTTACAGCAACTAAACTCGTCAAAACTGGCGGGCTCGTCATAAGATTTGTAACGAAGCTGCTATTGGTCAAAAATTTTGAGACCATCTGTATTGCCAACATCTGCAATCTTATTGCAAGGATTCCTCCAAAGGCCCGGCATTAGCTTGATTACTGCTACTCCTTACGATACATGCTTACACTGGGTTAAGAAAGAGTGATTGACTGCACTGTTCAGAACCTGTTCGAAATCAGATTGGTCACTACTTTTGCGTTGAACTACAAAGGTTTCTCCTCCTAATTTTATCTTGCTTCCTCATTCTTAAGAATAATATGCGAGAGTCTAGATAAGCGTAAGTTACTATGGGCACTTATGTATTTTATATGCCTGACGGACTGCACCTCTGTCTTGCGTAATGGCGACCAGACTTGCACCGGTTTTCCCATCGACGTCTGGTGGCCATAGCTTGTGAGATCAGATGGAGATTGGCAGTGGTAAAAACATGACAGTAGCAATTAGATAGCATGTTGACAAAGACTGGCTTGAATAGCGGAGATATCTCTCGTACTATTCTATTCATTCACCCTGCCATTAAACTCGCTCAGTATAAGTTTCATTTTACAATTCACTCGCAAACCAACACCTCAATACAATCATCATGGTTTTCTCCTCAGCAATTCTCGGCATGTTGGCGCTTACGTCAGCGTATCTCGCAGCCCCCGCCGCTGGTGAAAATGGCAAGGAGCTTCCGTGGGACGGCCGTGGACACGGTTTAACCGTCAAAACGATCACGGACAAGTACTTGACGCACATTCTGACCATGCGCAACGGCGGGAATTCGGGCAACGTGTCGGATTACGTTTCTATTGATCAAAAGGGTCGCATACCCGGTTATAATAAAGATACGGGCGTTATAAACATTGCAGTGGATGCAAAGGCTATCTTTAAGGAACAATACAATTTCCGCCGTTCGGAGCTTGTGCAAATCATCGTTGGCAACACCAAGGGCACGACGTTTTTTCGTGCGAGCGTACAAAAGGTGGAAGCGTTTTATAACAAATTCACTTGGCAGATGTTCTTCGACGAGGCCGCCATGTTTAATGTCCGTATCGATGCCTCAACCAGTCCTGCCAAGATCAATTACGTCAACGGCGGCACTTGGGACTCCAAGTGGAGTACCAATTTCATTACTGGTACGTGGTATAATTTTGGCATTGCCGTTTCTGCTTCCGAGACGGGTAAAGGCTCAAGACTTGATTTCTACGCAAGCACTGGCAACGATGACCTTGTTCTGAAGACCACCCATCACGTGTTGACAACGCTTCCGTCATTGTACGAGTTACATATTGGTCTTCTCACTCTCACGGACGATGGAAGCCAGCCGATAATGAACCCAAACAGGGATATCTTGATGTTCAACGGTGTGTCTGCGGACAAGAGAGTTGTGCTGACTGCCAACGCCAAAGAGGATGCTGCTGTCGGTTCAGTGCCTCACACTAAGGCAGACGGTTGCGCTCGCAAATAAATGCGCGCAAGGTTGTCCTCTTCCCATCTACCCAAGTAACGTGCAAAGCTGGAGAAATTGACTTGTGCCAGGTCTTACTTTGCTCGAATAAGTGTTCACTCTTTGATTTTGTTTTGATGGTCACGGTTGCTTGTCGTTCTGTCCTATCGATGGTTATTAGAGACCGAAGTAATAGTCACTGGCGTTGCCCATGCAGTTTGCCTCCTTCTTTTTCCATTCAGCAAGATTTAGTGAATATTTGCCAAGGTAGTTTACGACACTACCAGAACTTGGTCACACACCGAGGGTAAGTTGTGTTTCAATTGAACACGCTCAGCTTTCGCGAAAAAGCAGAAGCTTTACTACAAATATTCTGTTTAAAATAAGGGAAAAGGACATCGATAGAAATTGTTAATCAATCAGAAAATGGAATCGCCAATTCCTAAATTTCTTTCACTCGCATCAAAAATACTATGAAGGCAGCAGCGCAGCAGACAGAGGAAATCATTAAACGCGAGTTTACAAGGCCATCACCTGTCGATACTATTCGTAATGGAGCTGCTTTTGGCCCTGCAGCTCTCGGTCTTGAACCAGATTTTGTGCTAACCAACTTCAGCGCTCTCAAAGGCTGCGGCTGTAAACTCTCTCAGGCAAAGTTGTTGGGCTATTTAGACGATATGGCAAATGATCTGAAACCCGACGAAACGCCAGGAATGGACTTAAGTGTGGTCAAGATTTCACATGGAAAGAGCTTGTACCTTGTGTCTACTACTGATTTCTTCTTTCCTTCGGTTGAGGATCCCTATATGCAAGGCAAGATTGCTTGTGCCAACGTACTGTCGGATGTCTACGCAATGGGTGTCACTGAGGTTGACACCATGCTCATGATTCTCGGAGTTTGCAGGGACATGAATGAAAAACAGCGTGACATTGTCACCACGCAGATGATCCGTGGCTTCAATGACCTGGCACGCCAAGCGCACACCAACGTCACAGGCGGCCAGACAGTCATGAACCCGTGGCCTATTGTTGGTGGAGTTGCAATGAGTGTGCGCAGCGGTAGGTCATAGCAGTAGTGTTTGTTGCTAGTAGACCAAAAGCTGCGCTGACCAAATGGGCTGGTGGTTGCAGAGAGCCAAATCATTCGTCCAGAGAATGCCGTGGTGGGGGATGTGATTATCCTGACAAAGCCGCTCGGTACCCAAGTTGCGGTGAACCTTATTCAGTGGAAGTTAAAGCCTGAACGCTGGCAGCGCGTGGACCAGGTGGTGAAGCACGAAGATGCCGATGTGGCCTTTCAAATGGCGTCGAAATCCATGGGTCGACTCAATTTGAATGCTGCGAAAATGATGCATAAAGTTGATGAAAAGGAAAAAGCTGGTGCTAGCGCGTATGATAGGCAACGTGGTTACTAACGCTGTTGTGTTTCTTTGACTAGTATGGTGCACATTCTGCAACAGACGTAACAGGCTTTGGTATACTTGCCCACGCACGCAACCAAGCTAAGTCACAGCTGGGTGACGTTTCCTTCGAGCTGCACACGCTGCCAATCATTAAACACATGGTCAAGATAAATGAGGTCGTTGGCAACACATTCAAGTTGCTGGATGGTTTTGCAACAGAAACATCAGGTAGTTTGCTACTTTGTCTGTCCGCTGAGAACGCCGAAGCACTTATCAAAGAGCTGCGCAAGCTAGATGATAAGCCTGCATGGGTTGTGGGCCGCGTTGTCACCGGCTCGAAGGACGCTTATATTGTACCAAAAAAATCCGACTATCGTTGATGTTTCTCCAGAAGACTAGAAAAAACCGTATAACATTGATCAGCCAGCTCCTTGATGTAAACAGATACGCTTTTGACAAGAAATGGTGTCAAAATGAGACTGAAACACAAAATGGGTTTCAGGAGGCTACAGATCATTTTCGTTTATGTGAAGGTGGTGCCACCTTTTCTTTTGTGAGCGGAGATAACGATTCAATCGACAGCATCAATATAGTGCAGTTGTGCAGCTAGTAACGTTTTTTTCGAAAGCTGGTCCTTATGCGTGTAAAGGCATAGTGGATCATCGTTCTTAACTCATTTCGCTTCTTGCTAGCTATTATAATCGTAAGTTGGTTATCGACCGACATGATTCTAAAAAACACGTGATTCTTCAACTATAACGCCTCTAACCTCAACAACTTAAATAAGGTTGGTAGTCTGATATATAGGTGGCATGATAAGCTAAATATTAGACACAAATTTATACCTAAGCTTTTAAGGGCTCTATTTTGCTTTACTCTGCTGTAACGTTACTTGCACGCTCTGTGTTTGAGATAGTCTGTAAATGCTTTTACATCGAACAAAGAAGCAGAAAGTTAAAGCTTACATTCGGCTATCTAGTCAAGCATCAAGCACTGCACCCCATAACGCCAGCGCTTTTATATA